CTGATCGTCTAGCAGATAGCAATACAGAAAGCCAGCGAGTTGTTGCTAATTTTGCTTCAGCTACAAAGCCAAAACCGAAACCAAAATGGCATTTAAAGTGCTATGCCTGTGGGAAAAAGGGGCATTTTGCAAAGGATTGTAGAAATCCACAAAAGAAAGAAAAGAATGGATCACATGAATCAAGATATTCTAAAATTAATGCTCAAGTTGCCCAAATTACAAAGGATCAAAGTAAAGGAGTTGCATTTGCTTTATCTACAACAAGCAATCATTTCAAAATGAATGGATTTTGGATTGTTGACTCTGGGGCAAGCCAGCATATGGTTTCTGACCAAAGTTTGCTTCAAGATTATTGTGCTTATAAGAAACCACAAGAAATAAGATTGGCGGGAAACGGTGATATGATATATGCAGTAGGTGAAGGCAGTATCAAGAAAATAAAACTTGAACATGGAGAAATGCTTGTAGACCTCCAGAATGTTTTGTGTGTTCCAGACCTTACAGATAATCTTTTGTCAGTGCATTCAATGACAATGCATGGAGCTAGTGTGACTTTTACCAAAGGAACTTGTAAGATAGTTGCAGATGGCAAAGTGTTAGGTGTTGGACAGAAATATGAGCAGCTTTTTGGAGTTAAAGTAGTATTGCCAAATCGTGTTTGTGTTGCAGAGGTAAAACCACTTGATGATTACTCTCTACAGTTGTGGCATCAACGCATGGGTCATATAAGCAAGGACAGTATAAGTAAATTACAAGATGTAGCAGAAGGTGTCAATCCCATCAAGAAAGTCAGCCACTGTGTAAGTTGTGCTCAAGGAAAGCAACACAGAAACCCATTTCCATCAAGCTCATCTCATTCAGAAGAAATATTGGAAATAGTGCATAGTGATGTCATGGGACCTTTTGAAGTTGATTCAATTGGAGGGTCTAGATATGTTTGCACATTTATTGATGACAAATCACGTTATGCTTTTGTATACATGCTACGTACAAAAGGAGAAGTGTTTACAAAATTCACAAGTTTTGTTGCAATGGTAGAGGCACAAACAGGAAAGTCAGTTAAGATTATCAGAAGTGATAATGGAGGTGAATATTCTTCTAAGGCATTGAAAGAGTTTTGCAGAAAGAAAGGCATTCAACATCAGTATTCTGCTCCATACACGCCTGAACAAAATGGAGTTGCAGAGCGTTTTAACAGAACAATATCTGAGGATATGCGTGCTATGTTGCATCATGCAAAATTACCTAAGAAGTTTTGGGCAGAAGCTTTGAGTACCACTGTGTATCTCAAGAACAGATCACCTCATTCATATATCAATGGAAGAACACCTTATGAGATTTTTCATGGACAAAAGCCAAATTTGTCACATTTGCATGTTTTTGGGTGTCTTGCCACTGTACATGTTCCAAAGCAGCAACGTTTAAAAATTGATGCGAAAGCTAAAGTTAAAGTTTTCATCGGCTATTCAGATGATGTAAAGGGATACCGTTTGATAGATCCACAGACACTAGCAGTAACTGTTAGCCGTAATGTCATCTTTCATGAAGATAAATTTTTGTGTGACATGGAAAATATTAGGAATATTCATCCAGTTGAACCTGCAGAGGATCTTGTATCAATTGATTATTGTGGCGGTAATTACCAAGATGATGCAGATGATGAGACTGAGGATAATTCTGATCAAAGTTCAGATGCACCAGTGAGTAGAGATGTGTCAGAAAAAAACAGATAATTTGGTTCAGGAGGAAAATACAGCTCAGGTGGGTGCTACATATGAGGATACTTTTATGCATCAAGTTCGTTCATTGCCAGCCAAACGTCCATCAGCATTGCGTCCCACAAATGAATTACTGCATCATTGTAAGCTTGCTGAATCACTGACATCAGAAGTAAATGAACCAGACAACATTTACCAAGCATGGCACAGTGAACATAGTCAGCAATGGCATGAAGCTACTGATAGTGAGTTTACGTCTCTTGTTGATACACACACATGGGATTTAGTACCTCTTCCTGATAACAAGAATATTGTAGGATGTAAGTGGATTTTCAAGGTCAAACGCAAAGCTGACAACACAATCGACAGATTCAAAGCACGTTTAGTAGCACAAGGGTACAGTCAAGAAGAAGGTGTTGATTTTAATGAAGTTTTTTCACCTGTTGCTCGTTTTACGACCATAAGGACTGTACTGGCTTTGACTACATTATTGGACCTTGAATTGCACCAGTTAGATGTAAAAACAGCATTCTTAAATGGAACTTTAGAAGAAGAAATTTACATGAGACAGCCGGAGGGCTATATTGATGAGAAACATCCTGATTATGTGTGCAAATTAAGAAAATCTCTTTATGGATTACGTCAAGCAGCTCGTTGTTGGAATAAAGTGATTGATGAGTACTTGAGATCAGCTGGTTTTAAACAAAGCACCGCAGATACGTGCATCTACATTAAGCAAGAGGGAGAAAGGTATGTGCTATTAGCAATATATGTAGATGATATACTAATTGCATCAAATAACACAAGCATGCTGCAGAAAGAGAAGGCTCAACTCAGTGAGAAATTTGATGTTGTTGACCAAGGAGAGGCTCATTATATTCTCGGCATATCAATCAAGCGAAATCGTTCAGCAGGAACTATGTCTTTAAGTCAGCCTATGTACATTGAGAACATTCTAAAAAGATTTAAGATGGAAAATTGTAATCCAGTTAAAACACCTTTGGAGCCAGGTACAAAGTTTTCAAAATTATCAAATGATGAAGAATGTGTTGACAAAGATATTTATCAGCAAATCATTGGTTGTTTGACATATGCTATGACTACTGTACGTCCTGATCTGTCAGCTGCTGTTTCGTTATTAAGTCAATATATGTCAAATCCTGGAAAGCAGCACTGGATTGGTGTAAAGCGTGTGCTACGTTATTTAAAAGGAACAGTTAATCATGGACTATGTTATAAGAAGAATGACGGTCATGCAATTTTGAGTGGGTATAGTGATGCAAGTTGGGGGGACTGTCTAGATACAAGGCGTTCTACATCAGGATATGTTTTTAACCTGGGTGGCAATTTAATCAGTTGGCGTACAAAGAAGCAGTCTTCAGTTGCAAAGTCTTCAACAGAATCTGAAATTGTAGCATTAAGTCAAGCCACACAAGAATGTATATTTTTGCGACATTTGTTGTCTGATTTATGTTTTACACAAGAGGATGCTACTGTTATCTTTGAAGACAACCAAGGAGCAATACAGCTTGCAAAGAATGCAAAGTACCATGAACGTTCTAAACATATTGAGATACATGATTTGTTTTGCCGTGAGCGTGTCATTTCAGGAGATGTTGATATTCAATATTGCAGAACATCAGATATGTTAGCGGACATAATGACAAAAGCTGTACCATATCCATGTTTTAATCAAATGAACTTGAAACTTGGACTTATTGACATTTCAAGTTAGCCGATATTGCTCAAGGGTGGCTGTTAGAATTCAATAAGAAAAACTGAACAATTTATTGAGCAGTATCAGCTCTCTTAATGTTGTTGTTGTTGTTGTTTTCGTTCTTAGAATGATGTATGGCCTAACCTGCACATGGTTGTTGAAACTTTTTAATATCCACGTTAATCGTAAATATGAAGGAATATACATTACTTGTGTTGAAGTTAAAAGGTTTATAGATGGTTTTCCTTCTGGCTTGAAGTATTTTTAACATTAAGCAGCAGGACTGTTTTTACTTCACAACAGAATCAGTAATTTTTCATCACATCCTTTCAGATTCTCTTGACTGAGGACAAAGCTTTGGCCAATACTGATAACCCAAACGTGAGTGGACTTTTTCTTCAGATCTTCATTGCATTTGTCCAGGCAGAACATTTTACATAATTACAGGCAAATAGAAGAAAAATTAAGACTACCCTCAATCTAAGCAGTTTTCACATTATATTTTATTCAAGTAAACTCAGATGTACCCATTGCCTAATTAAGCTCCTTGGCCCAGGGATGCTGCAGCACAAAAGGGCCTGTTGTTGGGCATTTTCAGCTTCAGGGAAACTCTCGACTGTATTCATCTGGGCCACTTTCAGGAATGGGTCTAGTGTTGTAGCACCAATATCACTCATCTTAGTCAGGCCCTGGATGTACTGCAAAAGCCAAATGCATCAATTTGAAAATGCAGACCAGAGTGTGTATCTCTGCTGATGACCAAAAGACGGCATGTCTCATAGACTACTGCTAATCGGAATAAATCAAAAGGGGATGTATAGGACTACATTACTCGCCAATCAGCTCAAAAGCATTTCTCAAGACATGTCTGTGTTATCATATAGATTCTGTTCTCTACAGCTAGTTTATAAATCCTGTTATTCGTTATTTTCATAATGATACGTGCACAAGGGGAATACCCCTTGCTGATAGTCAATATCCAATCTATTGGGCTGCCAAGGAGATGCTTTGTTAATTGTTCAGCTTTTCAGTTTATCGACTTTGCTTTTGTCATAAAAGGCATCCATCGCCTTACTGTTAACTATCGAGCAAAGAATATTCAATTTTTTTGAGTTTGTTATGTCTAGAAATGTTCTCATATTGTACCGATAATCGTTCGTTGTTCGTGGCTACTGAAAATTTTTATTTCCTGAAAATTCCAACCAGGGGGTTAGTTGATGTTGGAAAGTCGTAGATTAGAGTCGTGGATAGGAGTCATAATATAGTCGTAAAGGCTCAATATAAAGTATAGCAGTTCCATTAAACGTGCATTTTTATCCTAGATCAGCAAAAATCTTCTACAGCAGGCAGTTGATTTGTCAGATTTGTTGCTAGATGGCTACGTCACTCAGCTCCAGTTTCTAAAGTAAGAAACCTTTTTACAATTAAACAAATTAATCAGAGAATAACGTAACCATGATTATCTTCTTTTCTCATATTTCATTTTGTTGGTTAATTTATCTCACCAGTTCTACGTAAGTTGAACAAAGTTTCTTCTTTGGCATCTCTTTTTCTTCATCTTCTGTGTTTTTCTGTCTCTATGTAATGTTTATCTTTTTTGTGTTTTGATTATTCGACTATGGTTCAGCTTGGCATGAATTTTCTTCGCTGGTCCTTTCAGTTTTTATACTATCTAGCCATGTAACAAGAATCGTGAGTTACCTAAGCATAAAAATTAGTACAAAACATTGCCCATTCTCTCTCAATTTATGCTCGAGCCTGTATACGTCATTAATACAAAGCCATAGATTCGTCAAGCTTTATTCAACACAGGCTCGTATTCAATCGGTACCTGAAGAAACCAAATCAGAGCTACGTTCTTGAGTTTGTAGTACTTTGATCATTTTCTGACGTATATATTTTTAGAGCCACAAAAAATGACTGTGGACAACTGCAACTTGAGTTTGAAACTGAGCGAAAGTCTGCCATTGAACCTCTCAGTAAGTGATTTAACATTCTGTATCCTTTTTTTGCTCTGATTTTATTACTTTTTTAGTTTTAACCTTACTCTACTGAAAAGTTGCCAAAAAGGAGAAAACCGATCTTTAAGAGATGCTAATACAAAAACTGGAATCGTGAAATGCAAACATTCCGGTTGCCTGGAAACAAGAGCTCTCGCTGACCATCTTTGACAAGGCTGATTATCGAATAACAATAGTTTTACCTTATCTTGATAAATGAAAAAGCATTTAACGTGAAAAAACCGTAATTAAAAGAACCATGATCTGTCGATTGTATTTGCAGGATTAGTCATTTTATCGTTGGTTTATTTCTCGGTACAGGCTACACGGTTCCCTGCGCTACTTTGCTCCGAATGGACTTTTAAATCCTTGAATAAAACTTTATTAGTCCAGTGCCAAAGATATTTCCACCAAGTGATCTTAGGGCTTGACATGGCTTTTTCACCAATATCTTCAATCGTACTATCACTTTGGCCTCCTTGATATTAAGCGCATCACCGAGATCAACAAATATAAGCTGTTTTGGTATGAATAAAGCAAAACTAGATTCACAGAAGACATATTTTAGATTTTTGCGTAGATAGTCTGATCTTTATTTTCCTTCGTAGTTCAACAAGAACATTACAAGATGGCGTTGGCACTGGCCGAAAAATACAAGGATTTCGCACTTATGATAGAAATTTGCGACAGAGAAGGAAACCATGAAAAACTTGAGAAATACAAGGCTACACTTGTATCAGAGGTACCTACACAAACCAATTCTTTTTGCTTATATATTATATGCCAATGTTTTAATTGCTCCTTTCCAAGTCTCTTGGGAATTATATTTTGTGAGAATGAGATTTTATTTTATTGCCGATGTTCTAAAAATCAGCATCATTATTTCTACGCGGCAATGTAGTTGAAATCTGCTTAACTTACTCAAGTATCCTGAATACGTAACAGAAATATGTCATCTTGAATATTTATTTCAAACACAGGATGCGGTATTTTGTTGAGCTCAATGTGAAATTAAAACCTATATTAAGAAGCATTAGAAATACTTTCTTTCTACTGGTTCCGAAATTTTATATTTTTGAACTGCCAATGGTCAAGTGTTCGATTAGGTCTGTTCCACGTTCCAGACGACTTCTGGCTCCTTTAGGGGGGTTTATGCATCTTGCACCACAGCAATGCTCGAATAGTATGTTTTATTGAAAGTAATCTAACGCTATTTGAAAGGGGAGAGGGGGAACCGTTAATCTGAATGGCAAATATGCTGTTGGTGTTCAAGACATTTGACAGGCACTGTATCTTACACTCATTAACTGTTGCTCAAAACATTTGCTCTTTTGTAGGGTTTTCTAGATTTTCTCTTCAAATGGTACTTGGATAGGGGTAAGTTACCCTTGAATCCTTTAAACTGCATTGTGAGCCATCTGTTGCTACATTACTTTTCATTTAAGCACAGGTATTTACCGGCTGAACCCGAACAGATTTCCGGTAGTATTAACAGAATAAACTACTTGAACATATGCCAAGCAAGTTTGTGTTTTTTTTTCAGGTGAACTTGGAAAACTTTTAACCGAAAGCTCATCGTCCCAACTCGAAAAGTTCTTGAGCTCTCACCACCATCTAAGCTGGCTACATTTCATTGGAAATGGTGAATACGAAAAGGTAGAATAATTTGTTCACTAATGTTAAGATTTTGTAACACATATAATTTTGAATTAACCAAGCTGGTTATAATATATTTTCTTGACAGGAGTGCTCAGGTTACTTTTTGGGTTTAGAATTCGAGCAAAGTTGTTTCTTTCGGTCAGTCAATTGTACAATTTACATTTTTGGGGTTCTTAAAATTCTAATTATTTTTAGTCTTTTTTCTTGTCCATGGTGAGAATAATTATATTTGGGTCAATTTTCACCCTAGAAGTTATTTTTAGCTGTTGATGATTTGTACCCCTTACCGGAGCACCCCTATCCTTTATATGTATGAGTACCCTCCCCCTTAGGAGAATTAACGGAGACTTGTTTATCCAATTCCAAAAAAAATGAACTCGATTTATTTTGCTTTCAATTTGTTTAGTCCTAGGTTTTCAAATTGTCACACTTGCATGGTTTTCAGCCTAAGGCACTTGTATGCCCTTCACGTAGACTAATTCGTGAAAAGGTTTTATCAACTTCTTCCAAATTTTCATTCTTTCTGCAATCAAAGCCTTCTCGTTACAATTTTAAAAAAATGCGCAAGTTTTATTAGGCAAGCAGTGAAGTGTCAACGGCAATCCGTTCTGTAAAGTTGAGATTTCCTGACAAACTCAGGGTTATAATTAACGGATATTTGTTTATTTAAGCTAAAAATAAACCTTAATTTGTTTTGCTGTCTAGTTGCTCAGTTGTTCTAGTCCAATTTTTTATTTACCCTGCTATTAGAATAAGTTTACTCGATGTTCCTCTCTCAGAATAATGTGTGCAAAGTGCACCTCTCCAATCATTTTTCCTGTGGTAGGCAAAACTGCCTCGTTGCATATGATTGCGTTAAAATGAACAATTCTATTATACAAGCATTGAGGCGCTGTTTTCAATCCTCTACACATGCTCTATGGATTGTAAACTTAAAGTATTTCAGGTCTGACCATAAAAACCATGGTTTCTTTTCATCAAAGGTAATGGAATATGGTGTTGTCATGACTTGATAAGGAGTATATGCTCGAAACGTCGTGTTTTTAACAATCAAACTATTATATTTTTATTCTGGTACTAAATTTGTTTGCTAACTATATTATCGTTATGATGAATTGAGAGTGGATTGAGTGCATTTTGAGAAAACTATTTATTGTTTCTCTCAGAAATATTTAACAACAGAACCTTCACGTTGTGTCGGACTGTCAATGGTTGCAAGGTCATTTGAGAGTAAATGATTTGATAGTAAGCTTGCTATTTTCGATAATTTCTAGGCTTCTGATGTTTTAAAAAGAACTGCAAAAGGAGAAAGATCATTTTTAGCAAGAAAAAAGGTGAGTTCTACACCTCTGAAATGTGGTATTGGTTGAGATTGTCAGTAGCAAGTGTCGAATGGAAAACGCTGTTGTTATCAGATCTCATTTTTCCGGTAACTAAATATAAATGCTGAAAAACCATTTAGGAGGTTAATTCACTCAAGCTTCTGCTGGATTTTGAACACGGTGACTTGATTACAAACAAAGCAGCAGTAATGTTTTTAGGGTTTACCGTAAAAGCTCTATTAAGCCACCCCCTCTTTTCTAAGCTCTGCTTTCTATTAAGCCCCCTGTCTTTCAAGCTCCCCCTAAGACTGAAAAAATGAATGAGCCTCCCCCCCCCCCC